ATTTTTTGTATTTTTTTTTTTACAATTCTATATTTAAATAGAATTAAAAAAATCTTTTTACATGACCTTGTAGTATGGTATTCTCGGTTAAGGCTTTCATTTCGATAGTGTTCATAGTAGGAATGGGTTAAGTGGGGAGTTTAGCGCTGCACTCTTCTGCTGATCTGTTTCCACTAAGAGCATAATCGTAATTACTGCATATACACACTACACACTACACGCTGCTTGTTCGACTATATGTTGTGTATAGTCGGACTAAGACGCCATGTGTAGTGTACCATGCAACACGCTGCTTGTTCCACTATATGTTGAGTATAGTCGAATTTAAGACGCTATGTGTAGTGTACCATGCTACAAGGGGAATATCTGTGTTGTACAAGAGTCCAAAAAAAAAATAAATAAATAAATAAATAAAAAAGTGTGAGAGGTGGCCACCGTTGGAATCCTGTACAACACAGATATTTTGCAAATTTTTGATATCTAAAATCGTGACCGGGTTAATTTTTTAAAATTAAGTCCTATATTTCATTTAATATTTGATATTATCAAGTCGGAACAACACATATATGTTTTATATGCTTATCTACACTACATATTAAAAGTTTACCCCCCGCTTCATATTTTTCATTTAAGTATAACTCCGTTGCTATTTATGTTATAATCTTCATTTTTACATTAAACATTTTTGATTTTAATTCTTTATAAGTCCCCCTCATAGTATCACAGTGTAAAATCGTTTTCAAAGATTTTTGGATTTTAATGACCCGTGTCCGAATGGGACACGTGTTAAATTATTCTTAACTCGCATGTGAAATTCACGCATGTTATTACTGTCACCAAACCCCCATAAATTTTAATACATTTTATAAAATGTTTATAATAATTTCTAATTCATGGTATTTCAGGGTGTATGGAAATACACCCTAAAGATATTGAAAATGAGCATAAATATCGTGGCCGGTTTTTCCGGCCACGATTTTATTTTTATGAATATGTTAAAGATTTTATACAAATAAAAGAATCTAATATAAACGTGTCTTTAGAAATTATAAACGATCCAACATATTTTTCTTCAGAAAAACTTACTATAGATTATTACAAATTATTAGAATTTATTGGAATTTATGGGATTTTACACACGCATGTTAAATATAGATATAAAATACATAAATTCTAAATAAAAATGAATATAAAAACGTGCACGGATTTTAGATTAGAAAAGTTTCATTTTATAGAGTTTTTAAACAATCATAAAATAGGATATGAACAAATAGATTATAAAAATAATAGAATTTTTAAAAAATAATGATATTTTGTGATATTAATAACGCGTGTCCGAATTGGACACGCGTTAAATATAGATATAATATGCATACATTTTTAAAAAATAATGATATTGAATTTTAACAGGTTTGTTTAAATTTTTTGTAATTTTAACAGATTTGTTTAGATTATTTGTAATTTTTAACAGGAAAATATAATGTCGGTTTTTTTTTTAATGAGTTTTCAATGTTATTTTAGATGTTTTTTTATATTTTTTTGTGTTTTTTATGCTTTTTTATGTTGTTTATGCTTTTTTAATGTTTTTTATTCATTTTTTAAAAAAATGTTAAGGTGTTTTTTCGTAATATAAAAAGTGTGATATACGTACCCCCTTACTACTTATGATGTTCAATACAATCGTTGTTATTTACAGATCAATCCTCTACACACTGTACCGGTAATACAGGACGGTGACTTTATTTTGTCGGACAGGTGAGTTCAAGTTATAACATTCATTAGATAACTATACGAGTTGTACCTCAATACTGAATGATATTATAATAATATATAAAACTATATTTTTAGTTTACTGGGTCACGCTAATTGAAATATAAAGTTCCACTGCCTAATGATAACGCAAAATTAATTTTTGACTAAATCGATTTTGGTTTTTGGTGTTAACTCTAAAACAAGAACCTGTAGATACATACAATTTTACTGTATATTTATATTAGAATTTTCTATGTACCATAACATTTTATAAATATTTTGAATCATTTTGAGCTCTTTATGGTCATTTTCAGTTTCCAATTTTTTTTAGTTTTTTTTCTATAAATATAAATAAAATTTTATTTGTTGGGTTAAAAATCTTGAAAATTTAATAGAAGGCTCCTAATATATTATTCCAAAGTCTGATGAAAAATATTAAAAGTTCGTAGTCACAATTTTTTGTTATAAGAATTTAAAGTTTAAATATTGACAAAATACGTAAAATTCAAGAAAATGTGCAAATTATTTTGAGTTAGAAATTCATTTAAATTTTTATTTTTAAATTTAAGATTTGAAAATGTATTAAAAGATTCCTCATAAGTTTGTCAACCCTATTAAAAAAAAAAAAGTCTACAAGCAAATCAAATTAAATATTTATGGGCGTTTGAAGTTCATATTTTTACAAGATTGGATATTCGCTCAATTTCTCATGTAGCGATTTTGCTATTTTGTTGTAATTCAAAAACGAATAGCTGTAAATAATACATGATAATTTCACTGAATGTACATATTTTCGTTTTCTACATACCATAAAATTTTCAAAATATTTAAACTCTTTTTGAGCTGTTTACAGACATTGTTATTTTTAGTTTTTTTTTCTATAATTGTCGATAAAATATTATTTGTTGGGTATAATGAGTGAAAATTTAATACAAGGTTCCTGATGTATTGTTACAATAGCAATTGAAAAATATTAAAAATATATAGGCACAATTTTTTTATAAGCATTTAAAGTTCAAATTTTGACGAAAATTATCCAATTTAAAATTACCTAAATAATTATTTTTTATTTAAAAATTTTAAAAATGTTCAAATTTGATATCTAAGGATTGAAAAATTAAAACAAGGTTCCACGTAAATAGGTTATGTATAAATTACTATTCATAATAATATCGTCAAATATACTTAGTAATATCATAGGCTGACTGACCGTCTTCGCTCAGAATCGTTGTTCTTATTCAACGATTTTATATCAATGAATGCAAATTTAAAACCATCCATTACAGTGATCCACTTGTAGCCAACTATACAGGAGAATGACACCCTCTTGCCCGCCATCTTTATTATTAACTTTAATACTTAACTTACTAAATTTGGCAATACAATTAAATAGTCACTAACTTAATTGGTCCAATATTAATATGTTAATTTAGTATTAAATTACAACATTTTATGGAAGGATTGTGTGAAATTAATTTAGCTCAACAGCAGTTATGTATTAGCACATAATACAATAAGATAGAATATATTAGAGATAAAAATATAAGTGCTCATATTAGAATATAACTTATAAGTTGTGTACAAAAAAAAGAAGTAAATTACATCTGTGTATAAAGATAATATTAGATAATATTAGAAAGAGAAGACTGGTTGTGGTAGGTTGTGTCTGAGAGTTTATATCGTTTATTGTGTAAGTACAATTATTAAGAATAGGTGCACAGCAAAGTGCTACAGAAGTTCATACTTCTAACTTCTCCAGAGGAAATAACGACAAAAATCTAGCCGCTGGACTGGGAATCGAACTCAGATATATCGCTTACCAAGTGATTACTCTACCACGACCCGACCACATATAAAGGTACGGTCGTGCGGTCCCAGGCTATATGGTGGGACGGAAGACTGTCGGAAGTCGACCTACTTAATGCACTTGCACGGTCGTCAGGGGACTTAACGTGATTTTCCGACCAAGGGGCAAATCGAGGGGATACTTTTGGCTCGGACGAACCCGTTGAGCAAAGAGAGCGATGGCTGGGCAGACGGCGGCGTCGTAATCGACGCATGACTTGTTGGTGTCATGAGGGGGGGACGCGAGATCATGGTTGCAACTTGTAAGGAACATAAATATAAATATCACAGAAGTCGTATGCAGAATAATAAATCACAAACGAATACAATACAGAAAAATTCACGAATCTCTTATCTCTTATTTTATATAACGAGGTTAGTCCCCTGTTTTGTCCGACAGGCGCGACGCAGCAAATAAGGAACGCCAATCAGAAAATTCCGTCGCCGCGGCCCCGCGTTATCACTTATTTTCTTATCATTTCGCCTATTTTTGAAATTTTCGAAAATTTACACTTTTCACACGATTTCGACCTTTTTCGAGCCTTTTTCGCTCATATTTATATTTGATTCGCGTAGCTCGCGATCTCTTGAAGCCGCCGGTGGCCGGTTTATATCCTTGCGCCGTCCGTATCCGTCGCAATGTCGACCGCAAAATACGCTCCCGGCCGGACTTTTTTGCCGATTTTTTTTGTTTTCTCCGACAGTTTCATCTTTTCGCACGCCGTTCGTGACCGAATCGTGTAGTTGACGTCTTTCTAAAGCCGTATATATACGCTTTTCTTACGAAATCGGTCCTTTCGCTTCGCAATCGCGTTTAGAAATGAGGCCGGCGACCGACCGACCGTACGCGTATATATACATGTATATACATGTATAATTTAAATTTTTGCCTATTGATTTAATAATTATTAACGGAAAACGCTTTTCACGCGCTCCGTTAAATATATATATGGGAGATGCGCGTATTACAAGCGAATTATATGCGATTACATTCAATTTTATTCTTTTTATTAAAGAAATAAAAAAAATAAATAAATAATTAATAATCATAATAACAATAATAAATACAGTGTGATTCCTTTTAAAGGTAACACTAAATAATTCTGTCCAGTGACATCGGATTAATATGCGGTTTTCGGGAGGGGGTAGAGAATACATAAATACACATTTCTTGATGATTTTTACATTTTTAGATCTTTCCGTGTGCACATGCACAATACAACTTGCATTTGTTTAAATGGCAACAGGTATTTTGAATACCAAATTCGGATAGACCGAATTTTTTTAAGTCGATTTGGTCCTTTTTACCATAGCTCTAAAATCAAAACTGATTAAATGGCAACCAGTCAAAGTTGCGATTAAAATTATTGAATTTTTCATATTCATATTTCAATTCATAAAATTCACAAAATATCAATATCTTCACCGTGTAGAAATATCAGTGGATATTCTAGAGAATCATAAGACCTTAAAAACACATAAATAAAAATTAAGAAAAAATGTACAGTGTATACACTTTAAAAGGAATTTACCTATGAGTTTCACTTATGCGTTGTAACTTTTCGTCTTTTCTAGATAAAATTATATCGCGATTTCCATATTCTTCTCCAACTACAGCCATTTCTACTTGAGATTGTGCATTAAATCTATCTCTATGTTGACCTTGAGGAACCATATTTGCATTTATGACTAATCGGTATTGATCAGTGGGCATATGATACAATGCAGCTTTGACCTTCGTAATTAAATGATTGATATTATGTAACAATAATTGCAAATGTCTTATAATATATAAATTAAAACGTTTTAAACAACAAATATATTATACAATACAATTACCTTTATTCAATACACTGCAAATACCCATTCGCGCATCAATTTGTTCCTCTTCGTCATCCATAAAATAAACTTGTAAATATTTATGATTTGTATTTGGTAAAGGCATCAACGACCCGGCTAAATGATACACTTGACCTCTTATTTTAAATGTAGGCATATAATTTTCGACAATAGTTTCTGCCGCTCCAAATGAGGTCATATGAAATGCATTGTTATATTTATTAATATTTTCTAAAAAGTGTTCTGAAATACTTGTTGAACTTTCCAAAAGAGTTTTCATTGGTTCTGGTGGTTCATCGATGTTAGGAATACGAACAGTTCCATTTGAACAACACATACCAGCAGATTTTCCTTTAATTAAGAAAATAATATAAAATGTTTTCAAAATTCTAAAAATGTATACACTAATAAACTACCTTTGAATTTCATTGCATTGCAATATTGACAAATTACATCCATTACACCGATACAAACATCATTGTCGTCATAATATGGATGCTTAGATTGGTATAAATAGGCAGACCGGAATTTTACCCACTTGAACGGTATATCACCTAAAGTATATGCATTTATAATAATAAATAGTAGTGAAACATAGGCGAAGTATAATAAACAGATATATTATTTAATAATGTATATATACCACATACCAAATAATGTGGGTTCAGCATTTGGTCTTAACCTCTTACGCTGTGTAGTAAAAAACATATTGGTTTCAAAGTGACAATTGCATACTCTAAAGTTTTTATTATTCGTACAAATATTGTTTTCGCGTTCCAATAAATCGGTCCTGTTGCAACTATTAAGCCATTGTATTAACCTATAAATATTTAAATCATTAGGTGGGTACACTTTATATAATTATTAATTACAATTATTAAGTATTAGGTGTTATTAAATACCTCTCTCCTCCATTTGGAATTGCATACGATGAAATTGCCTGAATGCAATTTGAACGATTTTCACGATGGAAAACGATACACCCATTATTAATCATAATAATAATAATAATTATTATTATTGAAATAATATATTTAATTAACACTTGAGAAAAAAAATTAGATCTGTTAGTAATGCTATACAACAAACGACTGAACGATTGGAGTTGGAGATGTCGATCTCATCGATCGAATAAATAAGGAAGAGCCCATGCGCATTAAAATCATTATTTATTATTTTTTTTTACTACCTTTGTACATTATTATAGGTCAACGATTATAAAATAAAGAAAAAAAAGAAAAAAAAGTAGTTAATGATCAGTTAATGATTAGTTAATTATTATTATTATTTTTATGAGGGTTCAAAACCGGTTTCCTTCGTCTCCAAAATCAAGTTAGATTCTTATATATATAGATTACGGTTTTACAATCACTGTCAATTAATTTGTTTGTTTGTACAAAAATATATCTAATCATTGTAGGTACTAATATTAGTACTATTTCAACTATGTAACCAGGGCCGGATCTAGGGGGGGGGAGTCGGGGATTTATCCCCGGGTGTATAATTTTCGTGGGCGTATTTTTAAGGTTTTAAATATTTTGTAAATTGAAAATTGAAAATGGACTTTAAAACAAAAGTCAAAACTAAGTACAAAATAATATTTCACAGGAAATGTGTAATATTGGGTATGGGAATAAAATAAAATAATTTTATTTTTTATCGAGATTAGTAATAACTAATAACATTGATTTAAATATTAAAAAGGACAAATATGAAAAAGGTAAAAAATAGATAAAAATATAAAATAAATAAAACCCGTCCGCAATTTACTGTCAGCGGGAGTGTACATGCCTTAGTCTATCATAAATAGATTAATGTACCTACTCTCCGATTAGTGACATAATAAAGTATGGTAAATTACATCATTTTCTTGCATATAATATAATATTATGTAGATAGTTGTTTAAAACCTTAATCTTAAAAATCGCACTGTTAATTGTAATTCATTGTTATGTGATTTTAAATTAACAACTATATATTTTTCCAAATAGGTAGGTAGGTACTGCATAAAATTATGTACTACATAAAATTTTACTTAGGTACTAATGATTTAATTGTTTTCAGATTATTTATTAAATTACATGTTCGTACCTAGGCTTATAAAAGTCTTTGTATTTAACAATTAATGCCTTTTTATAAACTGAACTTTTTTATAAATATCACCATGGCCACTAGATAAATGTAACAGAACACAAAATGGAATATAATTTGTCATTTGTGTTTGCTTTTTAAATAGGTACAAGTATACAACTATTAATTTACTTGATTAACTTGATATTACAAAAGTACAACATAATTAAATAATTAAAACAAAAATACTATCCTATTGATTGTAGCCCAAGACAGATTGAATATTATGTTTTAAATATTATATTAAAATAATTTAAAAGGAAATTTATATTCTATTTGGTTCGTTTTTTTTATTATAAACTGTGTTTTTTGTCTTATTTATTTTTATAGTTCAAGATGTCAAACAGACAACCAGGTCCTTATTATTCTAAAATGTAGAATGTAGAATGTAGTTATTTTAGTATATAGGTGCATTCAATCCGTTAGTGATAATCCATGACAAATATTTCTCTGTCGTGTTATAATCATTATATTACAATTTTCAGTACATAATTACATTTTTGTTTCATTGTATTTATTCCGTACCTAGGTACTTATTATTAAGTTTTGATTGTAACAAATATTAAAAATGAAAATTTATAATATTGATAGGTATATGTTGTAAATTAAATATTTTTTTTTTTTTTTTTTTTTTTTTTTATTAGTTATCCCGCGGCAACTTAGGCCATTGGGAGCCAAATTAAATATTGTTCTTTTACATAAAGCGTCCTATATTAAAAGTAAGCAATGGATACCTAATTTAGATTTGTTAATAAATAATTCATACATGTTATTATTATCAATATTAATTATTCTAAACCTGGAACTTAGAAATATTGACCACAGATTTTAGATTTAAATACACCATTAAGAAGTGCTTCTAAAACTATACTACGTGAATAGTTAAAAATTTAAAATGTTTCATTTTTAAGTTAAAATCGTTCAAATTATTTGTGGTAAATAAATGATTGGTCCTGCAGTATACTTGGAAAGGTTTTGTAAATGTTGGTCCTCAGTTCCTCGCAATACTGTGTGAGTGTGCTTGATTTTTCGTAAAAAAAATACTAATTCTGGTCATCTCCCTGAGATGGGCGTATTTTTTTAATTTTCCCCGGGTGTTAAATGCTATGATCCGGCGCTGTATGTAACTATCACCCGACTTTCTGTTTAAAATATTGTTAACCTACTGTTTTTGATTCAATATATATTATACATACCATACTAAATCAAACTGTTCAATTACGCACACAATTTGCTAAAATAAATAAATAATTTTAATAGTATCAATGACATACTGCAAGTTAGGTTAAGTTAAATTATACTTTTATTAAAAACGATGTAATAGATAGGGATGAATACTAAACATATAATATTTTTTAACAAAACAACAAAAATGACAATGTACCATATTCAAATGGATTTTGATATTGACATTGCTATGATTAATTATATTAATTACATGCAATAAATAGCCTTGATCTGATCATAACAATGATCGTATATTTATTTTCTTGAAAATAATTAGGTACATTAAGACAGTGCAATTTATTATTACACCTAATTGTGTTTATAATATGTTATTATCATTTATCATACAATAAACACACATTTATATATATTATACTTTGGGATTTTCTATTTTTAGGGTTCCGTACTTCAAAAGAAAAAAACGGAACCCTTATAGGATCACTTTGTTGTCCGTCCGTCCGTCCGTCTGTCAAGACCGTTTTTCTCAGGAACGCGTGGAGGTATCAAACTGAAATTTATATATAATACTCAGGTCTACTGTCCCTGGAAGCTGTAGAAAAATCAACCTTCTAAGCCAACGCAATCAAAAGATACAGCCATTTAGGCAGAAAATTTCCGCAAATTTTCGAAATTCGCACGAGAATAAAACCTACAGGGTACTTCCCGTGAACTTAGAATCTTGAAATTTCGTACGAAGTCACGTCTTATAGTACAGATATAGGAAAAATTACGAAAACCATAAATTTTTAGTTTCACCATATAAAAATAAAATATTTTTGAAAAATATTTTTGACAATTTTGAAAATTTCTATAATCCTCCAGCTTTCCATATTTTGATGTTATAAATTTCATTTTGCAATAAAAATACCATAATTATGACTCGATTGTCGTGATGGGTGAACTTTTACTTATATACCTACAGGTTTGTATGGAACCCTCGGTGCGCGAGTCCAACTCACACTTGACCGGTTTTTTTTTTGTAAATTAATGAACTTCATAAATATCGACTTAATAATCGAATTATCGACGTACACTTTTTTAATTACAAAAAGGGCTGGTGCCCTATGGATCATAATTACACGTTGAACAAAGTGCGCTGATAGTTTAGAAAATCGATTAGGTGTACGGTTTTTTTTGACTTCAAACTTTTGGACAGACCCAAAAGCCACAAAAAACAGAAAATATTATGCGTAGTTACACCGTTGATGACAGATAGCTAGACACTCAAACTTTTAAACATTCCGAAGGTGGAGTGCATACCTGATAATATACGCTTCGCATATTGCTTACCGATGTGATTTTATGACTGATAGCTAGACAATCAAATATACATATCGACTCTACACTTTTTGACGATTTCAACAACCAAAAGCAGTATAAATAATTCTTATCACAAATCCTAAACTTTCATCTTACGACTGTCGCTACTTTTATAATTTAAACGACTCTTATTCCAAAATCGGTACCCCCAAATTCAGC